ATTGGTATGATTAGTTGGAATATTTTGTACACATAAGTTACATTATGTGTAATGTTGTCTGATATAAAACAGTAAGAAATATGTTTCAGTACACCTTTATCATCTTTATAGTATATCACTAATGGATGTAAAGAACATTGTTGGGTGTTCCAACGATAGCTTTGTATTTCATCTTGGACTACAAAAGCACAATTTTCAGAAAAGTTGCTAATAATGATGTTTGATAGATCCATATTTTGTTTTAGATGGTTAAGGTGCTGTGATTGAGAGTGAGTAATAAAATAATGAGTTTGCAGCTTTTCAAAGCAAGATAAGAAATAAAGCAATAGTTCAACAAACGTTGGAACATCTACTCTTAAACTCAATAGTGTTGCACAATCAGCAGTTTGCCATTGCTTGTAGTGTATCTCAAAATCGTCTTAGTATTCACCAAAAATCTCATACAAGTATTTGATGAGGGGTTCTTAACCAGGATAATTATTACACTGTGCAAGCATGCATTCTTTGTTTTCTACTGAGCAAACAGTTTTTGAAAGTAAATCCTTATATTTTTTAGTCCAATATTAAAGGCATCTACTAGCAATATGGCATTTTGGTGATAAGAACAAACACAAACATAATGTGTATCACTTACATCAGGCAAAATGCACCACTGGTCTAAGTGAAGCAAATTTTGAGTAACTGTTTGTATTTCTGGATTGTTTTCTTTGTATAATACATATAGTTCCTTTAGATTACACAGAAGCAGTTTTTTTTTGTTTATGGGTATTCTTTTGAATGCTAACATAATCTTTTTTTCCAGGCATAGTTCTTCATAAATTACTTGAGTAATAAAACAATTTAACATAATCTTCCATTTCTTTGTGTAAGACTTTACCTTTATACAATGGAGAGATAGCTAACAATCCTTTTTTATCTTAGATAAATTACTTAGGTATGAATGTATTTCCTAAAAAAAAGAGAATTCTTTCATTTTCAGTAAAAAAAAAAAAAAAAAGGATTTAATATAGAAATAATTGAAACCTTTTCAGAATCCTTCTGTTGTATAATTTTTTACACTGATAGATATTGTTAATTTGATATATATAGATTGTATATATTTATATATATACAATCTATATATATCAAATTGTTAATTTGTTGAAATTTAAATAAAATTTTACCAATAAATGTTGTTCTATAACTGAACTTTTTACTAACTAGTTTTTATAAACTTTTACAAATTATAGTTGTCATATCACTATGGTGATATTGAAATGCATTTAAATTTTTATTAAAATTTTAAAAACAAATGCACTTCAATATCACACCTAGTCAGTTTTCATATAAAAACAAAACAGGATGTTTTTTTCAGTTTTTAAGTTCAAATGACCAAGTTATCATATAACTAAGACTTAAATATACCAAAATTGTTTTGTTTTTTTCTTCTAAGGAGTCTATAAGCTAAATTTAACATTTTGCAGAATTCTAATTGCAAGTTTTTTTTAATAATATATTGAAAATTTGATGTATCTTTGAAATTAAAGTTCAATATGTTTCAGTTGTTTTTTCCAGTGAGATTTTTTGTGTCTAGTAAGATTATAAGCAGCTGAAATAATTAACAGCTAAATAAAAAAAAAATTTGACGGGGGTGTTCGAGCTATCGGGCCCCAAAGCTGGTTTATAGAAACTAGCTGTTTCATTAACTTTTAAGCATGTTCCTTTAACAGGCCTTGCGATGAATAAGAACTGCGCGACGCATAAGCACAACGTGATTTTTGACGTCATTAAATTCTTTTTATTTGCTTTTCATATTTATCGACATTAACTACACCAATTTACTTAATTACCGCAAAACTACTTTAAATCGTTTATGTAGAAATGTTATTATTTAAAAATGTTTTGGAATGTTTCGTTTTTTAAAATGTAAAAACATTTGTTTATTTTCTCGACGTTTGTCACGTTTTGTCTATACTAAACGAATAAAAAACATTATAACTTAAATTTAAAAAAGATGATAAAATATGCTAATATTTGATTTTTTTTTTCTTAAATATGTAATTAAAAGTTTTTCAAATAATTATTTTTTCTTTTTAAAAAGTCAGCGAGTAATAAACTGGAAATTTTAATATTGTACGATAAAAAACTGTGCAATAGCTAATATTTTTACAAGCGATTTTATATAATATTTATTTATTTTTATTTATTTTCATAAAGCGGTTGATTAGCACAATCACTCGTATTAATAAAAAACTTAAACGAACGTTATAATAGACTTTTAATGTTAACAAGGAATTAACATTAAAATTGACGTTCTATTGTTCTTGAGCACGCTTTGTTGAGTTTCGGTAACTTTTAACATAAAAGCGATCGTTATTAATTAAGTAATTTTTTTAAGTTACTTTTTACAAAAATTTTAATAACTGTACTTTTTTATTGAATCAAGTAGAATACGTTTTAATATTAATCCTTTTTTTTTTTATTTGCCCTCACCAATTTTTAAAATGTTTCCTCGAAATTACTCTTAAATACTTTAAATACGTCTAACAGTTAATAAATATTTTTAAACCTATGAAATAATTTTAAAATCTATCAAACCCCCGTAAAATAATTATTTAAGTTTAAAATCTAAAACTAAAAGAAAGTATTTTTGTTCAATTTTATCGACAACGTTGCTATTGCTGAATAATTTTATTAAAATGTTAGCTTAAAAGATTTAAACTTTTTTTTTAATTTTTGAATTTTTTCTACTTGTAAATAATGACCATATTTAATTTTTTTTTAATTTAAATTTTTATTTCAACTGCGTGCGGTTTTTAAAATAATTTATTAAATGTTAAAATAATCGTAAATTACTTCATTGAAATTCCGCTCAAGAATATTTTAAAATATACTCAAACAAAAAATTTTTTCGCTCGACGCAAATGGCCCTAGCTACACGCAAAATCGCTCTTGGACGACGTAAAATTCACATCGCCCGACGCTTTATCGCAAGGCCTGCTTTAATATTTCAGGATTTTAAGTACATTTATTGAATTCAGCATCAAAAAAAACATTATATATGTTTATTTTCATATATTTGCCATTTTTATTTTTTATATTTTTAAGAAAAATGTTTTTCAGAGTGTTATGAAAACTGGGTCATTTTTGGAAAACAGGTCAATATTAAAATTCCAGTATCTTGTCAACCGCTCAACATTTTTAGCTGAAATTTTATGAATTAGCTTTTCTTTTTAACATGCAACAGCCAAAAAATTAAAAAAAAAATTTGAGGACCCATGGTTTAAAATTTCCTAATTTTTGAGTGATTTGATGCGAAATTACCCAAAAGGATTAAAAAAAAAATTTGCATAAATTTTTGCTTTCAAACTTTTCACTTTAATGACTTGCTAGCAATTAAAGTAATGTATCATAAACAAGAAAACTATTTTAAACACTTTTTCAAAATTTAAATGATTTTATGAAATTTTAGTATATGCATTTTTCAAATAACATCCTCATTATTTTCAAACCTTGCTTTTAAATCTTTTTTCTTTCAACCAGTCAACCATGACTGGCAAGAATTTATTTTGGGAGGTCAAACTAGCATTTTTAGCCATTTCAAGCAGTCATTGACTGTTGACCGGCTGTTGACTGTTGACCGGATTTTCCAAGTTGTATAAGACTTTCAAGAAATTATTAAACACATTGACAATTAATCCACTATCATAAACATTGCAATTCTTAAGAAAATAATTTGCTAAAATACCAAAAATATAAATTTAGTAAATGAAACTTAATATTTAACAGACTTTCACTATAACAGACCACTTAAATGACAGTTTGGCAGTTTTTAGACCTCCTTACCCATGAGATATTTGCATAATAATTTTTCTAAAAAACATTTTGTCTAAAAGACGATTTTCTAAAAAAGTTATATTTTGTTTTATTCAATAGTATGGTAAATTATTATATTGTTTATATCAATGTTTCTATAACATTTTTCTAATTATTTTCTTTGTTTCCTAATTATGCAACTGTATTCCAGTCTTGATTAGAAGTCATTTTGTATTTGCCGTGAAATAAGAACTAAGCTTGAATATAAACCATCCTCTACAATTACATTTGCATAATTTACTAGCTTTTAACAGTAGCTAATAAATTTTGACTCAAATGAAATTCAATTACTTTCTACCAGTCATTATCACAATAACCCTTATATTCTTTAATCCATGAATAACAACATGCATACTAAATCAAACCTACTTAAGGTCTTTTATGATTATCTTTTACAACTGACCTTTATTTAAAACGAAAAAATCACATGCAGAATTATCATCTGTAAAAACTAACTTTCTTTATCATGTATTTTACTTTCATATTTTTCTGTTTATAAAACATTAAATTAACATCCTACTGTTTATTTTATTGTTTATTTTTCCCACACTCCTGATTATATTCTGTATTTCTATAAACCACCTATAAAATTCTTAACTTATAAATACTGTTGTTTTCCTTTTTATGAAAACATTGAAGAGAGTGGAGAAAGAAAAAAGTGGTGTGGGAGGGGGAGGAAGGGCACAATCATTAATTTGTAAAAAAAGTCCTCTATATCTAGAAACTTCTTTTCTTTTTTCACCCTCCACCCACATCATCATAGGGTCTGACTTATCAAGCCCAAACCAGATTGCAACAAATTTAGAAATTCTGAGTAATAAAACCTTATGCACCTCTTTTTGATGCAAACAAGGTTAAGGTAATTTTTTCAATTTTTTCAAGAAAATGGGTAAGATTTGATTTGTTATAAGCTGATAGTCGCATTTTAATTACAGTTTCCTCTTAGTATATTCTTTCGAGTATTAAAGGTATCCTTAGCCTCAAAGTTAATATAAAATCTTATAAATTTTTGGTTAAAAGGTTGATGTTGATGTTAAAATAAAACTTATTTGAATTTGAAATATTTATAATAATTTCTTCTATATATACTTCTAAAATAAAAGAAAATTTTTATAATAAAAAAAAATAATTTTTATTATTATTACCATAATGAGATCTCCTTCTTCATCTAGGTATTTAAAACGATTTAATCCAGGGCATCCTTTAACAATCTTTTCCCAAGTTGTGGAGCTAGTTTACAAAAAAAAAATTGAATTGAATTTTTAATTTTAGCACATACCAAAGTACCAAGCAATAAAATGTTGTTTTTTTTTATGCTTTCTTATTAGTATAGATTCTAATTCAGATATATTTTATATATATTATATATATTTATATTAGAGGTGGTAGATTAATAGGTATTTAACATTAATCGATTAACAATTAAACTTTAAAAATTAATCAATTAATTTTAGGAAAAATGTGTTGATAACTTAACAAAAAGTAATTTATATTTTTTATGATTTTATTTCTCTTTTCAGATATGATCTTAAAAAACATAATTTATTAACAGTGTCATCATTTAACCTAGTTCTTAAATTAGTGACAAATAAACCAACTGCACTAAAACTTTTTTCTGCTTCTATAGAGGACGGGGGAAGACTTAGCATGGCATTATAAATTTTTTCTAAAGAACTTGGCCTGTTTCCAGTGCTTTCGAGTACTGCAATTTCATGTTCTATGCAAGTCAAATTTTCTTGAGGGAAAGACTTACAAGTTAGCCCTTTAGTTTTTCCTGCTAATGAAGTTGTATTAGATATTATTTCTGCTTATTATTCAGCTTTAGTTTTTTTCTTAATGGTTCTGTATTACAAGTAGACTCTAACTCAGACTCATATGCTGCTTCTACTTCCTCGTGTAGAAATAAACGTAGGTATATTTCTCTAGCAGTTTCAGAAATTTTATTTTTATGTGGGTATTTCAAAAGATTATCTGGAAATTCTGAGTCTGATTTATAGTAAAAACCTGGGTTATGTAAAAAGCACAGTAAACCAGCAATATTAGAATTTCTTCTTTCGACAACTCTCTCCAAGACAACAGTAAATAATTTTTGACTTATGTTAGTATTTTGTTCTTTTAAGATTTTTAGTAAAAGCAAAATAATTTTATCAGACTTTATCAGATCACAGTCTCTTTTCCCTAGTTCCATAACACTTAACTCTACAACATGTAGAGCCTGAACAATATCAGAAATGTGTTTTATTTCTTTTTCTTTTAAATTAAATCTGTTCTAGATATATCAACAAGAGCCTTGCAATAACATTTTTTAACTTTAAGAATCGTTTTAACATACTTATTAGAGAACTCCATCTTGTTTTAGTATCCAAAATGGGCTTAAGATTTTCTTTTCCTAAATCTGTTCTATAAATATTTTGAAGGGAATCGTTTTTAAGTGGAGATTTTCTAAAAAGTTTGACTATTTTACAAACCTTCAATATGATAATGCCATAGTCCTCATTAAACTGGATTTCTTGTGAAACAGATCTAATACTTTCCTCATTCCAGCATTCTTCAGTGGCGTTTTCATCATCAGGGTCGGAATCAGATGTTTCATTTTCATTCTCATCACTAATTATTTCTTCTTGGGTTGTTTCTATTTCTAAGCATTTTTTCTTATAAAGAATATCACATACAGCAAGATGAATTCCATGGCAGTAGCAAAGTTTGTGTGTACCTCCCATTTCTTGTCCCATTTTTTTCATTACTGATGCACCGTCAGTAACACATCCAAAAACATCATTGATCAAATTCAAGCCAAATTCATTTAATTTTTCAATAACAATATTAACAGCTATTTCCAGTTGCTAATAACAATATTAGCAACTCATTCCAAGACCATAGTGACATTTGTCTGAACAATGCACATTAGGACATAAATACCTACAAGTTTTACCAGAATGAGTGGACCATCAAAAGAAATTAAAAACCTTTCTCCTTTCTCCTTTTAATTTTTTTTACTGAAGCTCTTAAACAACTTTTAACTTCATTGAGTTTGCGTAGTTCATAACAATTGCCTTTATAGCATGTCAATCATCAAGGATTTTAAGTCCTTGAGCTTTCCAGCCATTTTTAACATCTTTGCTATTGGCCAAAGTTGCAAAAAGAATACGATCAACAGGAGTTAAAACAACTTCAGCTTTGCTACCTATATTATTACAATAGGCAGCAATACTTGGCTGTATATTTAAGGACTTCTCTGAAAGAGCTTTGGACTTCTCTGAAATGATCTCTATAAATCTTTCTTCTCGTAATTCTTTTTTGGGGTAACCTTATCATCGCACCATCTACTACTGCCCTGAAGCTGACTGGAATTCCTTTCGTGACTTTCTTCGTGATGGTCCTTGGGCTGATGTTTTTTCTCTCTTAGCTGACAAATGCGCCTCCTACGTAACCTCCTGGATTCAGGCTGTAATGGAAGCTTTTATTCCTTCGCGCCGGTTTCAAGTCAAGCCTCATTCTACTCCATGGTTTTCTCCTTCTTGTGTGGCTGCTATATCCAATCAGAATCATTTTTTTCATCTTTTTCAAAAGAATAACTCTCTTGTGAACAAACGGCTATTTATTATTGCAAGAAATCGATGTAAAAAGGTGCTTTCTGATGCTAAACTCCATTATTCTCAGTTCACTAAATCTCTAAAGACTTTTGGAAAATCTTCAACAGCATTATTAACAAGGGTAGATCTAACATTCCACCTCTCATTCATAGGACTGATCTTATTACCTCTCCCAAGGATAAGGCAGAACTATTTGCAAAAAACTTTTCTTCTAATTCCACTCTTGAATCTTATGGACATTCTCTTCCTTCCATTCCAGTCAAACAGGTTGACCCATTGTTAGACATTCAAATCACTCTGTTGCTAAAGTCATATCTCAATTAAACTCGTCTACAGCTTGTGGTCCAGACAACATTCCTGTCACAGTCTTGCAGAATTGTTCTCCAGAACTTTCTTCAATTCTCTCTAAACTATTTAACAAGTGTTTAACTGTGTCTTGTTTTCCTGCTTGTGGGCATCTGTGGTTCCAATAATCGAAAACTCTGGAGAAAATTCTGACCCCTCCAATTATTGTCCAATCAGTCTTCTTTCTGTTATTAGCAAGGTCTTTGAGTCTTTGATCAACAAATTCCTCACATCTCATCTTAAGTCAAATAAACTACTGTCAGACAATCAATACGGTTTTCGATCCTCTCGCTCTACGGCCGACTTGCTAACTGCT